CATATGCATGCACCATGGTCAGCACAAGGTATCCAATTTTCCTGTACAAGAACATCAATTCGTGTTACAATGGTGTGAACGTATATAGATGTCAATGCAACAATTACAAAACGGCCTTCCATATTTGCTAATATTTATAGAACAAAGTTAGAGCATATTTTTTGTTTGAAATGTATCCCTAAAGCATGGAAAAATTAAAGAGAAAGATTTAGGAACTACGTAGCTAGGCCTATCAGCCAAAAGTTAGTATCACCCAAACTAAAAATTTATTATATCGTCCAATATCCATTTAGCAGACATGGAAGCCGTTTTGTAAACAGCATACCACGGCCTCTCAGCTAACATGTATTTTGTAGGGACTTTCATCGTGAAAGGTACAGGAATGAAAAAGCAAAATTGTTTCAGAGCTGCCTACCTGACAGCAGCAGGCATCTCACAAGTGCTCAATCGAATGAATCGTCCTTTCAAAGTCACTGTCGGCATTGATGGATCTGTCTATCGTTTTCACCCGTTCTTTAAGCGACTACTAGAAGAAAAGATTAATGTTCTTATAACCAAAGGAGTACGAGTGAGTCAACTCGGACAGCAGTGCTGCGGTCATAATAAGAGCTGATGTGCTTCATATTTCAGTACCAACTAATGCTATCAAAAGACGGTAGCGGTATTGGTGCAGCCGTGGTGGCGGCAGTTGCTACTCGTATGCGAAGGGAAAAGGAAAGAAAACGTGCCTAAACTCGAAAATAACATTGTTTGAGATCTACCAAATACCATTCGTCGACTCAAGCATCTGAATGTGTTTTTGGTCAATCTGCGTGAAATTTCACGCAATAATAAACATTCATCGGTAAACCTATCGACATGGTTTGTTCACAAAATGTATTAGTGCAAAGGTTGCTGTTGCAAGGGAGCACTAGGGGTGCACGGCAGAAAATGGAAAACATGATTTCTGAACTTGACCTACAATTAACTAGTTTATAAGCGTCTTGACAGAATAGAGGTTTGTCCTTTTTTTGATCGCTATAGCGGCCCTAAGTGATCCACAGATCACTTAGGGCCGCTGCATTGTAGAGATCGACCTCGTTGGCCCCCAGTAATCTCCCAAAAGTCGCCACAATGTAAAGACTAGGGTTGCGATCGTTAAAAAGAAGTTTTTAACTTGGACACGGCGGGTGCGTTTGTTGCTGCCAATGCGCATTCGCCCCGACGCTCAACCCACGATGAATATACAGTATTTTTGATATAAAGTACCAGCCGCTCTCTGCCGCTACGCGGCAGGTTCGGCCGG